TTTCTTCATCACTTCAACTTTTCCATTTCTGGTGCTTAGAAGTTTTGTTTGTGAGGGTCCAAATATGGCAGAAACTATTACATCCTTCTAAACTGCAACAGCTGCAGAGGCCAAGGGTTTTGGCTGAACAACTGACTAACCTTTCCAGGGAGTGATCTGAAGCAAAGAATGTGAGAAAACACCTTCCAATCTGTCAGGAACATGGAAAAAGTTGCTTTCTCTCTTATGCTGGCCAAGGCCCTAAAAGTCCTCCCCCTCCCCCCCCACATTGATACTTCAAAACATAGACTGGACTCTTACTGTTTTTCTTTAGGAATACAGAGCAGCAGTCAAAATTAGGACCACAGGGTTCTAGCAAAAATAAGAAGTTATTGGGCTTCAGGGACATTGGCTTTGCACCACAGATTTATACCATATGGACTTAAGCTGGAATCAACTGCTCAAAGAGCCAAAAGAAATCAAGATACCAAGAGGTGGTGTGTGACAATTTCTTCAAACAGTGAAAATAACCTAGAGTGCTTAGCTGAAACCTAAGAGAAATGAAGTTGTGTTAAATCTCTACATTACCTAAAGTAGACAAGAACTTCCCTTAAAAAAAAAAATCACACGGTTCAGTTTTCTTCTTGCTTGTGTATTTTAGAGCATGACCACTTTGCTTCCACTGTCTGAAACGAAAACTTACATTTTGGAAGGCTTTTTGTTTGTCTATGCGGCAGTGTTTTCATGGATTCCCTCCAATCTTTCCATTTCCACTTCTGAAACCATTCCCAACATTTCCAACAGGTCATGAAACTTGACTTTCTCCCACGTAGTTCGACTAGTTCCCCCTCCAAACCTGATCCCTTGTCTGCCTTGTCAAGGAGCAACTGCTGCAATCAAATCCACCTTCTGCTGCTCAATATGATGTCAATTCAACAGTCATCAAGTTATGTTGGCACTCTGTGGGCCCCTCAACCAGGTAAGTGTTGAATAGCTTCATTATCTGAGGTCTGCTGCAAAGCTTGAGCAGTGCTCAATTGAGCAGTGTCTTATTACAATGGACAGCGAAAAAGACCTCATAGGAATAGCGAGGAACCCAACAAAAGAAACTGGAATTAATATTAGCAGCTAGTTTCAAAGTAAGTGATTGAAGCTTATATGCACAAAGCCAGCGAATAAGAGTGACAAGGATAAAAGACTCAAGATAGGAGCTCACCGTTTTAGGAAAAACAGCCTGCTTTTCATCATTGAAAAGCTTCTAGAAAAAGCAATCTCATCAGTTATGCAATCTTAATTTTTTTTTTTTTTGCAAAATAACAATGTGATAAACTATTAAAACTGTTATTTTGTGTCAGTCCTGGAGCTTGAACTCAGGGCATCCTTGCTGTCCTCGAGACCTTTTTGCTCTACTTTTGGCTTTTTGGTGGTTAATTAGCAAGAGTCTCACTGATTTCTTTGCCTGTGCTGGCTTGAACTGTGCCCAGCTTTCACTTTTAAGTGGCAGTGAACTGTTCACTCCAAATTATGAAATACAGCATAAATTCAGGAAGGACAATGAGTAGGACAGAGGTCACTAATGAGGCCAGGCAACCTAGTAGGTTAAGAACTTAGAAGCCCAACTTGTTTTGGTTTGAATCCTTGCTCAGCTATTCATTTATCCTCCACATGACACTGGGCACATTCTTCAGTCTGCTTGAACCTGTTTCTTGTCCACATAAAATGGGGATGATGACACTAAATCAATTCTAGCATGTACATTCCAGACCAGCAGCCAAGGATATAGAAAGTTGTAAAATTATGTTAGGACCACCAACTTACGGGGAGGGTACTAAGGAGATTTGTTTTATTCAGTAAAAATACAAAACTGGAAATAGTGGAGTTGTATAGTTTGCTTGTTAAAGATTATTTGGTTCTCTTTTTTTTTCTTGTGTCCATTTCTTCCTTGTGCCAGTACAAGGTCTTGAACTCAGGACCTGGGTGTTTTCCCTTAGCCTTTTCACTGAAAGCTGGCACTTTACCACTTCAGGCACAACTCCACTTTTGGCTTCCTGATGGTTAATTGGAGATACGAGTCCAACAGACTTTCCTGCCTGGGCTGGCTTTGAACCTCAAATCTCTATCTCCTGAGTAGCTATGATTACAGGTATGAATCACATACAGATATTTGGTTCTTAGGTATGGCAGTTCCAGTATACTGTACCTCAGTATGGAAAACTTGTTTACATTATAGTTCACTTTAAATTATATGTACATATTTATGATTTTCAATGATAAAAAATACATTGTAGGAAGGTGCTGATACTCAAAGAATTAATGTCAATTTTTAGGCAGGCAGGTTATGTGTAATGAAGTAAGCTAAACCTTTCCCCTGCTACCATCCACCCTTCTCAATTCAAAGAGAATGCCCCAGAGAGATTTTCCTGGAAGAGAAAATCAATCTGGGAAATGTGCATCAAAACAAAATCAGAGCCAAGTGTGGGGATGGCAAGATAATTATTTTAGGGTGTTCAGATATAGTCATGTTCATAATCCCCTAAAAAAAAAGCACTAAACTACCCTTCCTGCTAATATGAGTTTGGGTTTCTGGCATTTGCAAGTGAAGGATGAAGGACAATTAGGAAAGTTAAGAAGCAAAGGTACATTTATGAGACGCAGCTTTATTTAACTCTGTGATACAATTCTAGAGATCAATGGTTTTAAGTCTGGCATGTTCAAGTTTCTGCATTTGAGCCCTCAGTACTTGAAAACAATAAAGGTATATTAATAGCTACTTGAAAATAAATATTTTAGCCTAATAGCCATGATTCAAGTAGACCATCATTGGTACACAGCACCTTTAATTAAATCTAGTAGCAAAACAGGTCAACACAAGAGGTACTAAGTTAAGCAATATGAAATTATGTACAACATATGTCAACATAAACAAAATGTACAAAGAACCCCAAAGCATTCTAGTTGTGTGCATAACTTTTATTATACTTCATGAAATCAGAATCCCACTATTTGTTACAGGAAAACAATTGGCTAAATGGTTCAACTATGCGTTAGAATCTTAAATATTATTGTAACTCTCTTTAATTCCTATTTACAGTAGGAACAGGTGCAAGTTTTGTATACTGTAATTTATGGCTATTAATCCCATAATTAGCAATTATGAAAGCTACATTTTCTCTTTGAAGTCATTGTTTAAAGAAGAAAAGGCCAGGTGGAACTCTTCCTCCTTTAACACGGGATTCAGGAACAAAATGCCAAGATGTCCAACATAACTTGGGTTAGGGAGTTTGTTTACTCATCAAAAATTGTCAGGAGGGGGAGCTAGGAGGGTGGCTCAGTGGTATAATGTTTGCCTCGCATGCATGAGGCCCTGGGTTCAATTCCTCAGCACTATATAAGCAGAAAAACCCAGAAGTGGCGTGTGGCTCAAAGTGGTAGAAGGCTAGCCTTGGGCTGAAGAGCTGAGGGACAGCACCCAGGCCCAGAGTTCAGGCCCCACAACCAACAACAAGAAACAAACAAACAAAATTGTCAGGAATCTAAAAGGAAGAGGGCTTCTATAAAGAAATTGGGTGTTAATACTACAAACTCCTACAATTTTCAGTAAATTATTCAAATTTTACTCCCACCAAGTCTTTGACATGATTAGGTTAATCACTAAAACATGTTTATTCTTGTTGTGTGGGAATAAATGTGCACATCTATAAAATGAGCTGATGGTTATAGTTAGGTAAACTCTGCTAGTTAAATGATTTCCTATGAAATGCCTGTAACTGAAAAGTCCAGTAGAATTCTAGGGAAAAAAGATGGTGAAGATGGATTAGGTCATTCAGGATTTTTTTTTTCCGTTTCCTTTCAAAGAAATTCTTTCTCCTGGCTAGAGGAAAGTATGTAAGTACAGGACAGTGTCTTGAGGTCTTGTCCAGATTTTAACTTAAATTCTAGAAAGGATGGACTTCAACACTTTTCTTGGAAACGAGGCTATCATCATAACAGATTTTACTGTCAGGGAATTCCTCTTACCCTCATACTCAGATCACACATTCCTTGTGTGGATTTCATCCCGCTTTTTCCAGTTACTCTATGGCACATTTGATTCAATTCTCTCTATCCCTCTCAGATTCAGTTAGCACACAATCCTTTTTGGGTTAAATTGGAACCCCGTAGAATACAAGTTAGTTGCCTAAATGATATTATAAACAACTTATTTTTATGAACTCTTTATCATAGCAGAAACCTGAAATTGTTTTAAGATATACATATACTTCTTAAATTGTAAGGCCTTACTAGTTTATATGCGCCACATTCTTACTATGATTTTTTATACCAATGGTCTTTCAAGCATTGTCCTTGGGTTCTCTTCCATTCCAAGTTTGTGTGTGTGTGTGTGTGTGTGTATGCTATAAATTTCTCTGATACTCATTTAATTATCATTTCATATGCCTAATTCTTCTAAGTCTCTTTAATGGCTCTGATTTCTTTTCAGTCTAAAACTTATACCAACTGTAAACTTAAAATGAATTTCATTCATGTCCACTTTTATCATTGTTTTTGAAACAGTGAATACACAGATGTAATACAGATGTAATAATCCTTTATTTTTATAAGTTATGTTGCAGTTCCACAACTGTACAAATGCTAATAAAATTAGCAAACTCTAATGTCAACATGTGAGCTGCCATAGGTATAAATTAAACCATCTGCATATACAAATATACACATACACATTTGAATAAAAAATTGTTCCAGGATTTTTTCCCTTTAGTTACTTCTAGATGTATCAAAATACAGCATCAAACTGGTCATCACATCTCTGTGAGGTAATAAGAATGGGCTAAGGAGGCACAGATTTCAGAAAATACATTTTTCTTTTTCTTTTTCTGCTGGTCTTAGTGGCTTGAACTCAGGCCCTGGTTACTGTCCTGAGCCTCTTTTTGCTGAAGGCTCTACCACTTGAGTCACAGTGCCACTTCTGGCCTTTTTTTGAGTAGTTTATTGGAGATAAGACTTTTCTGCCCAGACTGACTTTGAACCATGATCCTCAAATCTCAGCCTCCTGAGTTGCTAGCATTATAGGTGTGAGGCACTGGCACCAGGCCAGAAGATACTTTGCAGGAATAAGTACAGCCAAATTCAGTCAGTACTGATCAATGTGGAGCTGATTTTCAGAAATAAATATTAGCTACAGTAGTTAAAAGTACTTATTTGATCTTTTTACAAAACATCTCCTTGGGAGTTTTCCAAGTATAAAAAATTAAGAGGAAAAAATTACATACCAACCTCTAAGGCAATAGTGGACAACTGATAGAGACTGAGGATAAACTCTCCTCAGCTAGATCATATGCTGCAAGACATTCTTTCTAGTTCTGTTTCACCTGAGTTCCAGGGTGGTGGTTGACACAGGTGATCCGTGGGTTTGGTGTCGTACCAAACTAACAAAAAAAAAAGTCTGGCTTATAGAATTAAGCATACTAGAAACTGAAGCTTAGCATGAGCTCTACTAATCAGGTACAAAAAGAGTATGAGAAAAGGGGCCTTACAAGTCAATTAATTCAAGAGGCTATAAAATACATTTTTGCCCTCAAAGCAAGTTTCCAGTTTAATTTCTGACAAATAAATTGCAGCCAGCAACAATATCCCAATTATCCAACAACCCATCAATGTTGTCAGTGCATAATTCTCTGCAACTGTTGAGGCATCATCATCTTGCAGAACGACTCAATTTCCATTGCTAAGGTTCTTAGTAGATTCATTTTTCACTGGAATAAAAAAAAAAAGCAGTGTACAGTCAGATGTTCAAACTGTTTCTGTTTAGCCTGTTCTGTTTTTCCCTCGGCTTCCCTCCCTTCTGAGGCACAGCAACAGCACTGTTCTCTAGCACAAACCATGCCATGTTTCAGGCAGCTGGGATATACAATTCTAGCCATCATACAGGATGATGTCAGAAAGTGGCGTGAGGTAACATCCTTCCTCCTTCTGGAACACTGGAATAAATGCATAGTGTGGCTATGATTCCATATGCTTGCCACTGAAAATATCACTATTATCACACAGGCTGGCCACATGTAGCTGGAATAAAATTTTCCATGTATTTTTTAAACTTAAAATTGAGGGTTAGTATGTGTTGAATAAATGTGGGCTCAAGAGTAGCCACAAACCATCTTCTTATTCCTTTCACAGGAAAAGTGGCTCTGAGTGGAAATGGAGCTTCTTGGATGCTCTTGTAATGTCTACGGTGAACAATATTAAGTTCAAATCCCTCAGAGAAGCAAGTTCCTTAAGGGTAGAAACTGGCTTTTCTCCCCTATTATCTATCCTCATAGCATTTTTGGTGAATCAGTAAAATTCCAAGTCAGTCTGCCTTCAGCATTTTTCTGCAAAATGGACCTCTACTTCTTTTTATCATGAAACTAAAAGAAAATAGTACATAAAAACAGTTTGCTTGAAGCATCATAGTTACTCACCTCTACTGGGTACAGAAGAAAAACAGAAAGCAGAGAAGCAGGAGGACCACTTAAGGGACAACCATTTATAAAAGCTCATGCTAGAACCCTCAACCTGGACCTCTGCCTTGGATTCCAACTGGTAAGTTTTCTGGGTTTGCTGAGATTTCAGTCTGTACCAATAACCAGTTTACTGACTCCATTCTATGAGTGAGACTGAAATGAGTTTCATGTAAGATACAGATGTCTTAAAACTTAGTCTTTGAAGAGCTTCTGTAATATTACAAGTATATTGCATTCTCTGGGTTCCTCTGTACTTTATGTAGGCTCTGTCATAGCACCTACTATACTAGAAAGTGCCTGAGAATCATACTCCCCAACACCTCATGAAAGGGAAAGCAAGCATAGAAAGTATGAAGGAATGAAGGGAGAATAAATGAAAGGATTTACTGGTCTAACAAGTAGTTGATTCAAATATTCAAGTTATGGCTAGATTCCTTTTTTGGTTTTTTTTTTGTTTGTTTGTTTTGTTTTTTGGGTCCGGTTGTGGGGCCTGAACTCTGGGCCTGGGCGCTGTCCCTCAGCTCTTCAGCTCAAGGCTAGCACTCTACCACTTGAGCCACAGTGCCACTTCCGGCTTTTTTTCTTTTTGCTTATATGGTGCTGAGGAATAGAACCCAGGGCCTCATGCATGCAAGGCAAGCGCTCTACCTTCCCAATCCCCTGGATTCCTTTTTTAAAGGTAGTGGCACTTTCTAAACTTGCTATTAGAATATTAGAAAAAAATGTTTTTAACTGGTATTTTAACATAAATGGGCTGTGTAGAAAGAAGGTAGGAACATGTTCTTTTGCCTACTAAAGCCACCTAGTTTTCTTCTTTAAACAGGGCTATATTCTTTTTCTCTTAGATAAATGGATACTTTTAAGGCATTTAAATCTGCCAATCTAATTTTTGTAAACAAGAGCTGGTGAAACAAGGTATAGAATGCTTAGAACTTTCTCCCGGCTTGATTCAAGGTAATCTGTACTGTACAGCTTCAATCTAGTAGGCCACTTCAACTGCTTCATCTTTTAAAGTTAACCTTTTTCATTTTTTAAGAAGGGGGACCCCCCCCCCCCCCAAAACAACTCCCCCCAAATACTCTTGCCTATTGCCAATTAACATAGTAGAATTTCAAAAAAAAATTATGGCAGTTTACAATCGTAACAACCATCAATTGTGCAAACTATTACTTCTTAGCCCAGAAACACATTTCCCCCTAAACCAGGAAAGAGACACCTTGTATTATGAACTCAGGATCAAACCCAGCATTAGTTTTCTGGTCTTTTTTCCTCCCCTTTTTTTGTCTCTGGAAAATTTGAAGGCTAGGGGTGGGAGAATATTCTTAATAATCCCCCTTCTTCATCAAGGGTCCATCAAAGACTGCAAGAATGCACAAAGAAACAGGCCCCTTGAAGGGCTTACACACAGAAATGCAGATATAGGAAGACCTCGCATTATTCTTAAGATGTGCACTTGTGATGTGACAACCCTGGTAGGATTCTTATGTTCTGTCAGATTCTCTTTATCGCTTTGCTTTAACAGTTCCCGTAGTTCTTTGTACTGAAATTATAAATTATCTGTGCTGCTGGAAGTAAGCCCAACATCAGATACAAGCAGACAAGAAACAAATTCACTTGAAGTTCTAAGTACACTACTATAATAGTTTTTTCATTGCTTTATTACATTATTTGAATGTGCATTTCTAAATAAGGTGAAAAGAAGAGGTGTGTGCTGTATTTATATATAAAGATGGCGTTTTCCCTGGCTAATAACTCACTTTAGTGAACAATTCTCCCTGAAACCAACATTTAGAAAAAAATTAATGTGAATGATATGAAAAGTTCAAAAAACTTAAAAACCCCTAATAATTTAAGATGAAAATTCCTAATTGTTTTGAGAATATAAATTGTCCTCAAATTGTGAAAAACAAAGTCAAGGATAAGAGTGAAAAACAAAGTCAAGAATTGATATAGCAATATAAGGCTCTGAGTTTAAAACTCCAGAACTATCAAAAGTAAATAAATCAAACATAGGGTAAGACATCCATGAAAACTTCATGTTTGCTAATTAAAACTGTGTGTCAATAAACCATGAACTATGTAGAGTGTTACTTTTTTTTTGTTGTTGGTAGTGGGGCCTGAAATCTGGGCCTGAGCGCCGTCCCTCAGCTCTTCAGCTCAAGGCTAGCGCTCTACCAATTGAGCCACAGCGCCTACTTCTGGCCTTTTCTGTTTATGTGTTGTTGAGGAATCGAACCCAAGGCTTCATGCATGTGAGGCAAGTACTCTACCACTGAGCTACATTCCCAACCCCAGAGTGTTACCTTTTTTTTTTGTTTTAATAGTAAAAATACTGTACAGAGGGGTCACAGTTACATGAGTAAGTTAATGAGTACATTTACTATCGAGCATTGTTACCTCCTCCTTTGTTTTTCATCTACCATCCCTTCCCTCCCCATCTCACCAACTCCCACCCTTCTCCCTGGCCCCAGCCGCAAGTTGTAAAGTTTGTTTTCAACATAGTGTCTTGTACATCTCATTGTTACAATGGGTCAACCTATATCCTTATTTATAAGCATTTTGTTATTTTCCTTCCCCTCCCCAAACGAGAAAAATGTATATACAAGATATAGGGCACTGACATCAAATACAGTAAAAACAGGGGTTATCATGGGGGAAGAACATACAAGAAAAACAACAACAAAAAAATCACATAGTACATTTTAAATATGTTAAAAACAATAGCAAGCAAGTGTCCCTATCTTGGGGTTCATTTCACTTAACATCATCTTATATGGTCATATGTACATAGATTTTGACCTTTTTTGCTTGTCCTAGACTTATACTAGCTATTGCAAATAAGGGAAACCATGGGACCTATGTTTCTTTGGGCCTGGCTTACTTAGCTTAATGTATTTTTTCCAAGTCTTTCCATTTCCTAACAAATGGAGCGATGTCATTCTTTCTGGTGGAGGCATAGAATTCCATTGTAATAAATATACCACATTTTCTTGATCCATTCATCTACTTTTTTGAAAACAGAAATCTTCCTAAGAAAAGGATTCTATGTTCCTGTAGAGTTTGTCACAATGAAACTTGGCCTGTATATATATAGCTACTGGTTTTAAGGTGAGTAATCCTCACTGTTTAAAAAAAATTACTGAATTTTAGTTTATCTTCTAGAATCTTGCGTTGACACATACTTAATTTAGTAAGTCACTGAAAATATGGAAAACTAATTTTATGCAATAAAAGTTTATGTGTACCTTTTCCAATTCTAATACTTCCCTATGTGGTCAAAGAAACTTCAAAGGAAATAAAGCCAATGTGCTTGAGAAGGGAGATAAAGGGTCAATACAATGGCACAAACACAGCGAAATGCAGCCCTAAATTTATATATAATGTTATCCCTTGCTATAGAATAGGATACTAAATAAGATACTAAACTTTGTAATCCCTCATTTTTATAAATCTCAATAGTTATAACTGGGGAGTAAATTTTTCTAATTACAGAAAACTCTAATAAGATAAAAATGTCCTTTTATAGTTGTTCATTTGTTATATTCATTTAAAACCAGTATTACAAGCTTATATATTTCCAAACAGGACAGAAGTAGTAACAATAGCTATCAGGTAAATTTTTAAAAAATTGCAAATGTACTAGAAGTAAGGGTAGTCATGCAATTGCTTTAGTTGTTTTAGTCTAAGCATTGTAGGAACAACTTTATACTTACCTTGGGAAAGAATTTTCATGTCATCATTAAATCCTTTTAGTACTATGTGTAATGTTGGATATTCAATAATCACTTTGTTTCTCAAGTTGTCTAGAAGACTTTTATGAGGATCCAGTTCATAATATCTTGTTAATAAAAAACAAAAACGCCTTTAGCATTCAAATTACGCATAATGTCTTATATTACAAAATTTAAAAGATGACTAATTCAGTTTTTTTTGTTGTTGTTGGTCGTGGGGCTTGAACTCTGGGCCTGGGCGCTGTCCCTCAGCTCTTCAGCTCAAGGCGAGCGCTCTACCACTTGAGCTACAGCGCCACTTTCCGGTTTATTGGAGATAGGAGTCTCACGGTCTCTCCTGCCCGGGCTGGCGTTGAACCACGATCCTCAGATCTCAGCCTCCTGAGTAGCTAGGATTACAGGCGTGAGCCACCAGCGCCCGGCAAAAGATGACTAATGCAGTAGTTACTTCCTTATAATGTAAATTTAGTGCCCCCTAAGAAAATCAGGTTAAAGAGCTGGTAGTTTGTAGGTTCTAAACATAATACAACCAACTAAAACTGCTTTCAGAATAAAAAAGAGAAAAAAAGAATTTTAAAAAGGAAGATAAATGAAACCCCTTTGTACAATTAATATATACTAATGAAAAAGAGGAAAATGATCACATCTGTAATACTAGCTACTCCAGAGGTCTGAGTTCATGGTTCAAAGCCAACCTGGGCAAGAAAGTCATGAGACTCTTCTCTCCAATTAGCAGCAAAACTCCAGAAGTAGAGCTGAGGCTTAATGGTTAGAGTAATAGCCTTGAGCAATAAAGCTCAGGAATAGCGCTCAGGCCTTGAGTTCAAGCCCAGGATCCCCACTCCCTGCCACACTCACACCACAGGAGAAAAAGAAAAGTGTGAAAAAAGTATACCAAACTTTTGGATAACAGGTAAGTGCTAAAGTAAGTCACTATATTAAGGAATAAGACTTATTCAATATGTCCATGTTTAACAAGTCCTGAATTTTTCTTAGAACAATAACAGGGAAAAATCAAAAATTTTCAAATATATTGACTTTGAACCTCAGAAGAAAAACAACTATTATATGATAGTTGTTTTAACTGGCTATTAAATTAACAAGTATTTGTTAAGGTGTAAAGTCCTTAAATTGATAGTTAAAAAAGTTTGAGTTAAACTAAGAATGCATTTCCTTATTCTCTTCTTGCTTTCTGGGGTGAAAGAGAAAAGGACAGAATTTCAGTTGGCTCACTAGTAGTGGCATATGGAAATATGTTGACTTGTGAATATCATGTCAGAGAAGATAAAAGTTGAGAACATCTTCACTTTGTGGTGCTGAAGTTCTCCAGTGTCTGTTGCTATCAATGACAGATCATACTCATATAAAAATATTCTTCCATGGGAGACTTAGCTGACAACTGAAACTCTACCCTTTTCTTCCTTGCTAAAGAAAGCATACTAGACTACAAGTGTACAAAATTTGCCAGTGGCTCATGCCTGTAATCCTAGCTACTAAGGAGGCTGAGAGCTGAGGATTACAGTTCAGAGTGAGCCCGAGCAGGAAAAGTCCGTGAGACTTTTATCTCCAATATACCACCAGAAAACTGGAAGTGGTGCTGTGGCTCAAGAGGTAGAGTGCTAGCCTTGACCTGATTAACTGAGGGACAGTGCCCAGACCCAGAGTTCAAGCCCCATGACCAGCAAAAACAAAACAACCTCCTCAACCCCCAAAATTTGGTGCTTATTTCAGACTATTCATTCTACCCCAAAATTTAAATATTAATTTTAGAATTATAGAATTATGTTGAAGAGAAAGTTGAATTGAAAAATAATTCAGTTTTCTAATTCAGCTTTTCCCATTTCTCAGAGACCAGAGAATGCATATATCATGCTTTTCCTTGGGTAACATAATACAGATGTGCCTAAGATATTTTAAAAGTGGTTCCAGCATGCAAGGATTATATGCTTCTCATCTTTAAAACATTATTTTCTTTTGAAATAAGAAGTATTAAAAAACCCCACCATAATTACATAAGGATTACATTAGATACCTAAGTATAAAATTACAGAGTAAATTATAAAATTTAAATAATTACATTCTTCTTAGGAGAAAGTAAAATTTCAATTCTCAAACAGGAGCTTTTCAAGCATTATCCTGAAAACATTTGCAATAACTTATCTTCTGCACACTTCAACTGAATCAAGGTTTGTTTTTTGTTTGTTTGTTTGTTTTTTTTGCAATTCCTGGGGCTTGAACTCTGGTGTGCTCAAAGCTATTGCTCTACCACTTGAGCCACAGTGCCACTTCCAGCTTTTTCTTAGTTTATTGGAGATAAGACTTTCCTGCTCAGGCTGGCTTGGAACTGTAAGCTAGGATTACTGATTAGCTAGGATTACAGGCGTGAGCTAGGATTACTCATTTCAATATATATCAATGTTTTAGGTAGTTTATTTTTGTAAAAAACAAGAGTTCTTCAAAAGCCACATGGGAATCAGAATCTAATATTAATGTTTTTACAGTGTAAAATATGTCCTTATAAATGTTCAAAGATAACATAAAAACTACTAGCATGTAACAAGTTGCATGCTTTCAATCTTAAAACTGTAAGGACTATACTTATTATTTATAAAATTAGGTCCTGTTTTATATTTTATGTACCAAGTAGGCATACATAAAACACTTAGGATGCAAAGGTTTCAGAGGCTTGTCAATGATTTTAAAAACATTTTACTCAAGTACTATGAAAAATTGGGATGACAAGTGGTTTTTGTCAGAACCATTGGGTTTTAGTGCTTACCCTAAATTGTTGCAAACTCTTATCATGGATAACTGAAAAAATAGACCAGTTCCGGGCTTGAAATCAGAAGCTCATGCTGTTTTATTTCTCAAAGCTGATGCTCTACACTTTAGGTCATGCCTCCAGTCTGGCATTTCCTGGTTAATTTGAGAAGTAGTTTCATGGACTTTAATGCCTCAATTGGTTTTGGACAGAGATTCTCTAAGTCTTATTCTCCTAAGTAGGAAGGATTCAAGTGTGAACCATTGTAGCCTAGCCAGTGCTGAATTTCATTAAGTTAGTTAACTTATAAGCCATAGCTCCCTCACTTGTTGATGGAAGAGTTCTGAATTATTTTTTTTCAGCTGAAAATTCTGAATTTCTCAGATTCTTCTCCTATTGCTGGTTACTCTTAATATACTATTAATAGCTGCCAGTGATTTGAAAGGACATTATGGAAACCTCTCATCCAGAAAGGCTATCAGCACATAAAGGACTCAGACTTATTTAAAGGTAGCAGTAATATTTAGTGGTTAAAGTCCTGCATTAAAGTTCTGGTTTTGTCACTCACTATGACTCTAGTTCCCAGTGTTCATAGCACCACTTTAGAGTTATAGTGAGGGGTCAGCAATGAATTATAGAAGCTGCTAAATAACTTCATTTGTGTTCATTTAAAATAATATTACAAACTTTAAGGCAAGTCACTGGATTTTGTTGGTAACAAAGAATGACATTTACTATGTAAGCATATCTTCATCTTTATACATATTTTGAATATAAGTATAGCCATAAAAATTTCAGTACAACCTTCAGTTATTTTACTAACATTTATTTTCAAGAGTCTACAAGTATTTGGAATGTTTCTGCTCCCATAATGCCAAGGCAAGTTTTAAGGTTTTAGACTGCCTACAATGTCAAGACTTTAGCTTCTTTGCAAGCCATTAAGTTACTGGATCCTCAGAGGGATAGCTTTATCTTTTTGAAATTCTCACCAACTCTGGAATTTCTATCAACTGAATGACCCTGCTGCCATAAGACAAACCACTTATGTTTGGAAGAATTAAGATACCAACATTTGTCTTTTGTCTTAGCCTCAGGGACCTGTCAGCCCTTTCCTCTTGCTATTTCACTTGTCCTCATAGGCTCACTGGTGACCCTGCTCTAGGCAGCTTCACAGGGGATTATGAGGGCAGCATGGCTAAGGAGGCTAAACAGGTGTTACAGTGACTGACATTATATAAATAAAGTTGTCCTGATACTCAAGGGTATCCTTTTAATTTTGGCTGTTACTTTCAAAGAAACCTGCTAAGTTGCTGAACTTCTTTTTCTGGATTTCTAATTTTATTAGCAAATTAGAATATCTTCTTTTTCTTTTCATAATTCAAAGAAAATACAGATTTAGAAAGCGTCTGAGAGTCAAACTATTTTATTTTCAGTGACACTCCTTGGATCATTATTCCTTTGCCCCCTAGATTATACTAGGATTAAGTTTGAATTTTCCTAAAAACTAATAATAATAATAAAAATCTCAAGGCCAAGGTATTTTTTCACCACAAAACTAAGTTGCCAAATGAGGTAATCACCAGGTTTCCCCAGCTCTAACATTCTACAGTTTTTGATATGTAGCTGTCAAAGGTAGCACTTAACTTATATTCAAGTATAGTTTATCAATTTAGGTTTCTACAATTAACTGGTTCCAAAAGGACAAAGGTGAACCTTTGTTATTATTTTTATTATTATTATTTTTTAAATAGCCCATGATACAGTATAAATCAGTTTATTGCTATCTGATATCTAAATTTAGGTTTTTAAAGTATGGTTCAGTCTGGCATAATGGTATTCAGCAAGATTGTGGAATGAATTTTAAACCAAACATTTTAGATTCATCTTTACCATATTCCTTTAATGTAACACAAAAGTAAAATACTATACACCTCAATAAAACTGACTTTGAAAATCCAAGTGAAAAGGAAAGCAGATTGTGGTTAATACTTAGAATAACAGGTAATGTCAAAAAACAGGTAATCTCAAAACACATTAAGTCCACTAATTCTTAAGTATTCTTAAACTTAAAAAGGTCCAAAACCATTAGAACCATCTGATCAAAGTTAATTTTTCTTACACAGATCATACATACTAAACATGGAGTTAGGTCATGAATTGTGTAGTACATATACCTCAACTGACAAAGTTCACTAACTAGCTCAGAACTGCACTATAAGCTACCCTTGACTACCATGACTATGGAGATATAATAAAATGAGCACTTATACATTAAAAAACATATTTTTTACAAGGGGCTTTTCTGATTCTCATAGGTAATTTCCTTGTTATCCAGAAGCTTGGATT